GTGAGCGGGATTGGGAACGGGGGAATGGGGGATTGGGAATGGGGGATTGGGAATGGGGGATTGGGAATATGGGATTAGGAATGGGGGATTTGGATTGGGAATGGGGGATTGGGAATGGGGGATTGGGAATGTGGGAATGGGGATTGGGAATGGAGGAATGGGAATGGGGGAATGTGATCCCAAAGGAGAAACAGACCTGTGGTGAGCGGGATTGGGAATGTGGGATTGGGAATGTGGGATTGGATCCCAAAGAGAAACAGACCTGGGTGAAGGAATGCGGGGAAAACTGGGAATGGGATTGAGGGGGAACTGGGAATGGAGGATTTGGGATTGGGAGGGAACTGGGATGGAAGAAGGATTGGATCCCAAGGAAAAACAGAGCAGTGTGAGGGGATGGGGGCTGGGATTGGGGCTGGAGTCAGGATTGGGGAGATCCTTGGGATTTGGAGGGCTGGGATTGGGGGGATCCAGGGATTGGAGGGAATTGGGATTGGAGTGAGAACTGGGATTGGGGGGATCCAGGGATTGGGGAGGGTCTGGGACTGGGGGGAACTGGGATTGGGAGATCCTTGGGATTTGGAGGGCTGGGATTGGGGGATCCTGGCATTGGGGAGGGTCTGGGATTGGGGAATCCTTGGGATCGAGGGGAACCAGGGATTGGAGTTATCTGTGACTCCCTGCTGGGGAGTTGCGATCAGGGGAACCCTGGGATCAGTCGAGACCCTCGGAATCCCACAACCTCCTGGAATTCGGGGAATTCCAACTCCCTAAACCCCCCGATCTCCCCGCGGGCAGACATCCGCCTGCGCGTGCGCGCCGAGTACTGCCAGCACGACTCCGCCCTGCACGGCAACGTCTTCTCCAACAAGCAGGACCCGCTGGAGCGCCAATTCGAGCGCTTCAACCAGGCCAACACCATCCTGAAATCCCGGGATTTGGGCTCCATCATCTGCGACATCAAATTCTCGGAGCTCACCTACCTCGACGCCTTCTGGCGGGATTACATCAACGGCTCCCTCCTGGAGGCCCTCAAGGGCGTCTTCATCACGGACTCGCTCAAACAGGCCGTGGGCCACGAGGCCATCAAGCTGCTGGTCAACGTGGACGAGGAGGATTACGAGCTGGGCCGCCAGAAACTCCTCAGGAACTTGATGCTCCACACGGCTCCCTGAGGGATCCAGCTCCGGTTGTTTTGTTTTTTTGTTGTTGGTTTTTTTTTTCCTCGGGTTTTTCCCGGGTTTTTTTTTTTGTTGTTGTTGTTGGTTTTTGGTTTTTTTTCTGATTTTATTTTTTTTTCCGCGGAGGTGCCCGAGCGGAGCCCGCTGATGGATTTGGGGAGGGTTGGAAATGTGGGATA